TTGTGAGTTATATGGGGGATGGGGTGGGGTGAGGGAGGAAGGGGGTTACTGTGTTTATGAATTTTGTGAGTTTTAAGGGGGATAGGACGGGGTGGGATGGGGGAGGGGATGGCTGAATTTTGTGAGTTTTGTCTGGGGTGGGGATTTGGCGTAGGTAGGGGTGGGTCGGGGGTCACTGGCTTTCATTAATGTTTGTATTATCTCGTATGTCTTAATTTATTGTATTTAGTACGTGAAACAAATGTCTAATTACAGCCTGAGAGCTTGTGCAGATTCCACATCAGGGTGGAGGTTTTCAACAATAGCAACAGTTCATGACCTCTCGGGCTGTACTATAATGTTATGGCATACCTCAGGTCATCATCATCAAGTGCTAGATCTGCAGCAGGCATCCGCGATCGTGGTTCTCTGTACTATTCATTCCTTTGCTCGGACGCTCTTAAACAAAGCTTCGTTACCCTGATATCCCCCCTTACCCACCTGTTTAGGTTCTCTAAGTGGGTTGCTCTGGGCCTACCCTTGCCTCCTTTGCCTTCAATTTTGCCAGTGAGAGCTAGATGTTCAAGACCTTTATGTCTATTCAAGTGTCCAAAAACTGCATACATCAGGTATCAAGATAAAAATGTATCCAATATAAGGAAGGTTGGGGAAGGAGGTGGAGATGTAATAATAATATTATTAGAATAATATCTTCTTGTTTCAGTATAATAGTTTCGGTGAAACCGCAACAGTTATATTATAAGAATACTCGTTACGATTCTAGTGGTTTACATGACCGGTCTGACAACTGGTTTAGTTGGCGGTCTACCAATTTATACAGGCTAAGAACTTACAGTAGACTGCCGTATCGTGGTAGGCTGTAATTCTCTTTAAAATTCCTAATCTTGAAATTTTAAAAATATAGTTTTATTTAAAAAAGACGTTGCCATCCACTTGATACACATGTATAAATTTCAGGACGGAACCGCATTAGCTTAATGTAGCATCCGTTCAGCTTTAAACTCGACACAAGGCCGAAAAGTCGGGAACAGATAGGTAGACCGTAAATTGAACTGTCTAGGACCGATATTTTTTTTTTAAGGGTGGGGGGGTGGAGGGGCAAATTTCAACCCCTCCTGATGAACAACTTCTGCACGTCTAATTTCACGGGGCGAAAGATAGGGACTTTAAGTACAAAAGGAACATGTATTTCTGAATTAGCACTCCGCAACGTGCCTTCCGTCACACACACAATAAACACATTCAAACAAACGTCAACAAACCCAAACAAACACACACAAGCCCCCC